ACATAGTATTATATAAAAGGTAGGCACTCCTTTTGTTGAGTCAAGAAGTATATTGTGTTAATATTCCTATACAAATAACAAAAATTTCATCAAGTAATTTATATCTACTAAGTCATTGCATTCAACATTATTCAGTTGTTAATATTACGTAAAATACAGGGTATTGTAAACTTTAAGTATAAAACCAGAACGATAGTTAAACGTTATCACTAATAATAGGTTTCTTACTACGCTGTAACTTCTTAATCGGTCAGCACAAACATACAATCGTCGACAGTATGAAGGAATACAGAGTTCTGAAAAACAATGACGGGCAGAACTCAATTAGACCACACACACACATTTCCTTAATAGTGACTTGGGCCAGTGTCAGTTCCGAACAAGACAAGACTCCCACTTGGCTTGGATACAAGCTTTTGAGCCAGGTCTTCATTTAATTTTCGGGATCCTCATTCAATATTTTCCATAGTATTTCTAATGTACTTATACGCCTACAATTCGCTCTGAGAGTAGGGTTGTTAGATTATTATTTTAGTTATACTTACAGCTTGTAAACAGTATTTTAAAAGAATATGAAATGCTGAACAATTCTGAATTTGAAGCACTCTTGTTTGAACGACCATAAACATATTCTATAACAAATGTCGCGTAGGATGACCCACACTATGCAACTCGAGTGCACGGCGAGATTATGCGAATATGCGAGAGTATGCATTTATACAAATACAAGTCGCGCTGTTAAGTTTGTATGAAGTTACACTAATACCCATATGAAAAATATGTAGTACTGTCACTACATACCAATTTTATTATGAAAGCCATCCAGAGACAACGAAATGCCAAACGGTGAATCGTAAAGACGGGCTTAACTACCCAATGCTTGGAATTTGATAAGTAGTGTTCACAACATGAATAATAAAAACCAAACTGGTTCGACTTAAATTTTTCACATTCAGATGTCGGAAAGAGTGAGTGACAATGGTAGCGCCCCAAGAAATGTAGATGAGAGTGATCGTCGACGGCGACAGATGTCTGTGCTTATAGCTGTCAACTGCCGTTGGCCAGTCATCCCGTGACCAAAGAACGTATAACCGTTCCGCTACACGTTCCTTGATCACGGGATGATAAGACGTGGTAAGAAACCTGTAATTAGTAATAATCATTTACTGAATAAACACGGAAGTCTTCAAATTCATACATAGTTAAGCTTCTGTACAGATTACCTGTGATATTGTGCGACATATAGACTGGCTGATAATTAAGTATTTAGTAATTAACCCATTAAGTGTCAAGACACGTTCATCGAAGACGTTAGACAGACGACGTTATAAAGATAACTAAATAGTTTTTTTTTCGACGAGTGTAATAAACTTACACATTCTGTCTACTCCATTTCATTGGAACCAAGGTATACGGTTGTAATTTACTAGGTCTTAGGGGGGTTATCTCGCGGAGTATCATCGCTAATCTGCACGAACGCTTAGCCATTCATACTTTTTCATAGAGCAAACATTTCAATACACGGAAGGACAAACCCCTAAGGGTCCAAACACATCAAGGCATTGTAACATTTACAGCAAAATAGCCGATCGTAAAATTAGGCACTTGCCTTTGATGTGTCCGGACTGTAATAAAATCACGCAAACAAGTACAACTATCTTCACTACTTATCCATCTAAGATAAGAACTTATATTTACATAAAAAGGGTATTTTGGCTGTTGCGTTACATGTGACCGTGGTGACGTCATTGCGTTTAACTATGCATACTACCGCACCAGAGTACAGGTATCCTATCACACTTTGAGCGAAGCGACGTTCACGTAGTACCATATGGAAAAGAATTAAGAGATTCACTTATATTGTTGCGTCCCCAGACGGCATCGCCTCTCGCCTAGCGTAAGGCATTGGAGTGTATTATTGCCTGCCCTACCTGCAGATCTGTTCCCTAAAGATACTGTCACTTAAAATATGGCAAAAGTAAAATAAGCAAATCAAATTATAGTGAAGATTTCATATTACAATCAATAAAGAATAGAATGATAAAACAGTGTTGCTCAGTCACGAATGTACGTTAAGGAGTATCATTACTTTTTCTAAAGCAGAAGGCAGAAGCGATGCCGTCTTGCCGTGAGACGCGGTAAACACGAGTGAAGACCTTAACGCTCTTCTTCATAATTGATAATTAAGTTTAATTCAGCTTATATCTCTTTCTTCTACTTTCTCTTTATTTCTTCTCATTTGTCCGTTTACTTTGACCTTTACAATTTGCAGGTTGGTTTCTGGAAATTCAGTACACGGCAAAAAGTTCTACTCCTATGAAATACAGTCAAGGGAAATAATTTGATTTTAAGTATTATGCATTATAATATGTCACATCGTTAATATTATTAATTAAAAGATTCAAATAAAAATCATTTTCCTTTCATAATTATGCACTTGTAACTGAAATATCTATATGTGTGTGGTATAACATTTCAAAAGACCTATTTAGGTACATAATTTTTAAACAATGCTTTTAATACACATTTTTGCACATTGTTATTACATAATACCATTAAGTTCTGCTCTTTGAACACAACCAATAACTAAAAGAAAGAGATAAAAGCATAATAATCTCCTATAATAATCAAAATATCACACATATATTGCATACAAATTACTCACATAATCACTCTTTTCTGTCAGTTTAGTGAGACTTAATAACATAACTGGCTATGAGCGTGTCATAACCAGTTTTTGGATTATGTTTAGTTTGTTTTTTGTTGTCACATATCTTCGAATATATAACCAGAAACAGAGACTAAATGTCATTTAATTTGTTTGAAAACTATTCAGCCATATCATTCAGGACAACTGCGCTCAGATTGGCCAGCCCGAATCCGAAACAATTGAAGGGAGTCGTCAATTGTTTCACTTCAAATCGACCGCTTTAACTTGAGCTTTGCTATAATGGACGATAACTGAACACACCACCGAATGGAACAACCCCCATAGTTAGAGATAGTATCTTTATTACCATAAATACAGAATATTTTTGGAATATACGGAGACGTACACACAGGTCAGTTGTTGGCGCTGTACTATTTCAGTGATTTCAATGCAGACGAGAGTTGATATTTAAAAGTGATATAAGGCCCATTTGCCTGATGAGTTGCCAGGTATGAATGGCCCTTATTTCATCTCTACTTCTGGTTATATACTCGAAGTCACATATAGACGCGTAATTGGTTTAGCCGGTCATATGAAATGTGAATGCAATATGAACAAAAAAAACGTTGTGTATGACGGACGAAAGGACTCTACACAGGCGAAACGCAGAACTTATTTCTTTCTCTTATTGCATGGATATAATTTTTTTTCTGGTCAATATATATTTTATTGAATATCATGATGTTTTTACTGTTGTAGTGACATCAGTCATGCAACACAGAAGCTTACATCCGACGCGCACTAGGGATACGCATTAAGATTAAATTTTTAGAAAGGACGACTCATCTAGCGATTTTTTGTGTCGATTCATTTCAATGAAATTAAATTGTCTAGACCGTATTCGTAATTTAAACAAGTCTCTTTCTGTCTCTTTCTGAATCCCTATTGAATCGTAAGGCTAATACTATTTTATATTGGCCTGCAAGATAAGCAGTTTGGCAACATCTAAGTACGTACAATAAGTGTACATACTTGGCGAATGCCGCTACTTCTGCGCCACGTGAACGTTATTTCTCACTGGCTAGTGTCAGTTTAAATTAAAGTCGTAACCGATTGAAATTAGGCTTCACATTTTTTTATCTAAATTAATTTTGAAACTGTTTTATGAGATGTATTCAAGATCATACGCTCTGATCTGTGGATTGATTCACAGTTACTTTCAATGAACTTGCTATTCAATATCAGCAGCGCGACATAACTTACGTAAACTGCCACTCCTCCCGCACTGCAGAGCTACCTCAGGAACCGACTTAGTTAAGCGGTAAACCTGTACCATGATATTCATATATTCATTTACGCAAATACTCCATTAGTTTCTTATTATTATTATTATTAATACGTCTTCTTCGTTCTTCGTCGTATGGTCGAACAAAACATAAAAAAACTCCTTTGTTTGCCAAACCGGGGCTTACCGCTTTTACCAACTGAGCTATAGATAGTCAGCAGACCTTACGAAACTTGTTCTTTTGCTGTAGCGCCACTTGTGAGAAACTTATGAAAGTTTTTCTTCACCCTACTCAAGCCAAATCCGCGGCAATAAGTGTGGTGATCCTTTAATTCCGTTTGAATTATGAATTTAAATTTGAACAACGATCCAGGGACCTAGGCGCGCTTGTACACTGCATCCGATGCGTATTCGTTGCCAATCCAAGACTATACAAATCTAGTTCCCGGACTCACTACGGATATCGATGTCGGATGTGCACTAAGTCCGATTCAAATCCGAATGTCGCTTGGACACCTAGAGATAAAATGACACTTCGGACGTCCGTGCCATTTCGGACTGTCATTTTCTTGCATAGAGTATATAACCAGAAATAGAGGCGAAATGTCATTTAATTTGTTTGAAAACTATTCTGCCATATTATTACTGTGACAACTGCGCTCCGATTGGCTAGCCCGACTTCGAAACAATTGACGGGTGTCGTCAATGGGTGTCGTCAACTGTTTCACTTCAATTCGACCAGTTAACTTGAGCTTTGCTGTAATGGACGAAAATTGCAAAATTACAAATTTCATATGTAATTACCAATGAAATGTGATTCCGTTTGTTTTGTAATTAGATGTTTTGCTGTTTTTCCCACACCACCGAAAAGAACAGCACGGCATTGTTAGAGATATCTTTATTACAATAAATACAGAATATTTTTTGGAATACACGAAGACGTACACACAGGTCAGTAGTTGGCCTGTCTATATTTCAGTGGAAACGAGAGTTGATATTTATAAGAGCTGTATCGCTGTGTTACCAGGAATATATGGCCCTTATTTCGTCTCTGTTTCTGGTTATATACTCGATGTTTTCTTGTATTCGGAACTGATATCTATGTGTCTATAATAAAAATGATAATCGGACATAGTACGTAAAAGTACTCACAATGTAACTCGAAAGTCAGCGTGAAAACTTTCTTGCAAGACCCTGAACTTGGGATGGTTTTCCATTTATTAACTCTCACTAAACAGACTAGGGCTCACCGTCATCCGCACTAATCCAAAGCTGGATATAAACATGAATTATACACCTCAATCGTGCTTCAAAGTATGATTGACGAACACTGAACGTATTTCCATAGGGCAAAGAGTGAGTACGCCGTTAGGTATAGGGTTCCGTATGCGATTAAAAGTTAACGTGCTCTCGTATATCTGACTTGATGTTACATCCAGGTATTCAGAGAGTTGAACCTGAAAAACAAATCATTATTGAACATATAAAACTTTTAACTATGATCATTGACTTACAAATAAATGGACGACGGGTCTAATACAAAAACCACGAAAAAAATGTCCCAAGTCAACCTATTCGAAATTTAAATTGTTATGTCATCGCAGTATCGCGCTGTCCGTAGAACAAATGAAGACTAAAGCGGAGTGTCGCGCTCTGTATACGATTTTAGCTCCTTACAAGTGCGGACACTTTTTAGCGCGGACCCGACGTCCATATAATTGTAAGTCAATGACTATGATGGCTTAATTAAGTTTAAAATTTAATTTTAGAACAGGACGTAAATATTTTAAAACGGTCGTTAAAACCTAAAATAACTCAAAACAGTGGTGGAACCGTAGGAGTAAATTTTTCAAGATGTCCTAATTCTACCAGGTCTCATTTTCTATTGTACGAGCAAGTTTAGTTTAGTTTAAACTATCATATTTTAAGGGATAAAAGAAAACATGTTGATATCACTCTTTCACTAAAGGAGACTCACGTCCAGTGGTGGCAAATTTTTATACCAAAGTGCTCTGGACGAACACTGTAATTTATATGATTCCACTGGAGTAACAAAAATTTACTTCGTGACTTGAAATTTAGTTCGTCACTGGGCTACCATCCCTGGTAATTTCCTAGTTCCTAGTATACAATAATTAAAAACAAGCTGGTCACCTGTCCATCGCCAACGGGATACCACTTGGCAATGTCCTTGTTACCGTAGCACACGTCTAAGTACACCCGCTGGAAGGTCATGCCGACGCCTTGCACCTTTTTATCGTCTTTTGTCTGCAAGAAGGATTGAAAATCTTTTACTATTAAAATCACGATCTCTGTTTAATTCTTACAAAGTTTTAGATATAAATACTGATACATTTGTACTGGACAATGATGTGGTGGCTCAAATATTGACTTCTGATAACAATTCTTTTGTAATCCGCAAGATGGCGCAGATTTCAATTGAGCTCATGGCCTTACCGGAGTAGTGTTTAAACAAGTACAGGGATACCGCTTAACTGAACCGGTTCCAGGAACCGACTACGAGGTAGCTGCGACGTCCGGGAGGAGTGACAGTTTGCTTACCAGTTATGTCGAGCTGCACACGGTACAATTTCAACAAGATTTTTCTGACGATAATCAATAGCAAGTTGATTGAAAAAAGTGCCTACCAAACTAGAATAGAATAGAAATCATTACTTTACCTTTGAGGTGTGCCTCAAGAATACACAGCAATAAAGATAAAAAAAAGATAAAGCTAAAAATTAAAATAAAATAAAATAATAAAAAAATGAAATAAAAAAAAAAATCATACCCCACAACACAGCAAAACAATAAATATTCAACACAACTAAAGTGAATGTCATGTGTGCGGCCGTGGCGTATGTAAAAGGATCCCACTTAGCTATTGTCAGCGCCGAGAAAAGAATGTAATGCTGATTTTCAGTGGACCCTAAATTAGTCAATTGTTGTTATGTGAAACGACAATAAAAAAAATATTTTATTGATAATTGAAATGAATAGACAAGTCATTTGGCACTTTTTACGATCAACTTGTTATTGAATATCGACAGTGAAATCTTGTTCAAATTATACCGTGTGCAGTGCGACATAATTGTTACGTAAACTGTCACTCTTCTCGCGCAGCTTATTCACTAAGCGACTCAATTAAGTGGTAGGCGTGTAATAAGACTTCGTTATCTTGACATAGGAGATATCTCCGCTAAGTGGTGTTATATTATTTGCCTCACTTTGTCTACGATGCAAGAAAAAAGTCAGAAGGAAATAATTTCACTGGCAATTTCGAAATGTTCATACAATTTTTGAAACAATGAAAATACCGACTATAAAGGAAATAATTGAATAAAATTATATTTAAATTTAATTTATATCGCAGTTTTTTTAATATGAAAAATAGAAGGACGTTCGGCCACAATCTTACCTGATGTTTAGGGACGATGGTACGCGTTTTATCTAAAAATTACCTATTCATTCACTCTAGCCTAGCATAACGCAGTATGTTTTCGCCCTCTATCACCAGTGTCATCTTTATAATTGATAATTGAATCTCTAAAAATGATAATTGTATCTCTATATGAAGGGATATATAGACGCACAAATATCATCTTTCACACAGTCTATCCAAGTAATAATGGCTACTATCTTTATTTTGTTTGTCCTGTATCAGAAATCTTCTCATAAACTTTTCTCCTTATTTTTAGATCATGAACCAGATACTAAAAGTACCAGAGCAACGGTATTCTGGGGTACTTTTAGAACACCCAGAATAGTACCAATTTAGAAAAGTTATTCCTAAATTGGTCCTACCGGGAATCCAACCCGGGACCTCCTCATCCAGCACCCACGATGTAAGCCGTTAGACCACAGACGACGTTATGTAAAAAGTTACCTAAATTATCAAATTATTTATTCTATAATTAAGAGTCTATACAACCTCAAATGTCTTTGGTTGTTTCCACAACAGTGAAAGTGTTGAAGCAATCAATTTGAAAAAAATATACATATAGTACAGGGTGGCGCAATAGAACGTGCATATTGCGTCATCTTTTTTCGCGCGGTAAAGAGTGCGTGGGAGGGGGGAGCCTAGCGTGATTAGATAGTGGCACTCGTGAAGTTTTAGTAGCCATGAGTCACTTCGACGGGAAGCGTCGCGCTTTTTGTGTTCGCACGTTTTACGAGAACGGTCGTTCATACATCTCTACAAGGCGACTGTATTGCTCTGAATATGGATTAATACACATCAATGAAGCTCCGAGTGCAAATTTAATTAAAATATGGATAAAGCGCTTTGAAGAGACCGGTTCCACGTTTAAACAATCAGCAAAAGGTCGTCCAAGAACGTCTAGGACCACAGACAATATTGAGAGGGTGAAGGACTCAGTACGAGAAAATCCGCAAGTGTCTACTCGGAAGCGATCGGCGGCTTTAAACTTGTCGCGACGAAGTTTACAGCGAATTTTGAAGTTGGATCTTAAACTGCATCCCTATAAGCTCCAGTTAACACAGGAATTAAAAGATACCGACTTTGGAGCAAGGTTAGCATTTGCTGAAGAAATGCTTCGTCGATTTTCCACTTTTGAGAACATTCTTTTTTCTGACGAGGCTCATTTTCATTTAAATGGGTTCGTAAACCGACAAAATTGTCGTTATTGGAATGACGAGAATCCAAAAATGAAACATCAAAAACCACTGCATAGTCCGAAAGTAACGGTATGGGCAGCAATCTCAAGCAAAGGAATTATTGGCCCTTTCTTTTTTGAAGATTCACGAGGACGAAACATCACCGTTAACACCGACCGCTATGTTGCGATGTTAGAAGGATATTTGACTCCAGAGCTTGCGAGATCAAGAATAGCGAATACGAGGACTTGGTTCCAACAAGACGGAGCGACCTGTCACACATCGAATGACTCTATGGCGGTTGTGAGACAGATGTTTCCAGCTAGACTAATTTCCAAAAGAGGTGATATCCCCTGGCCCCCACGTAGCCCTGACTTGACGCCTCCTGACTTTTTTTTGTGGGGATACCTCAAACACAAAGTGTACATGAACAATCCGAGGAACATCAGGCAACTAAAGGAAAATATCCGTGGGGAAATGGCAGCAATCACCCCAGATTTATTAAGAAAAGTTTTCACAAATCTGCGTTCGCGTTTAGAGGAGTGCCATCTTCGAGAGGGCCGTCATTTAGATGACGTTATTTTTAAAAAATAAACTTCGTTTAATTACCTATTCATCATAGCTTTTATTTCAAATATACCTTTTGTATTTATTTTTTTAGCCTATACTTAATTTATGCACGTTCTATTGCGCCACCCTGTATTATTGAGGATATACTCTGATTAGTACGGTGGGAAAACACATTTCCTAAAAACTTTCACGATAAAAAACATACACAAACTTACCTCGACATTTTACAAGAAAACTGTTGTATTCAAAAGGTACTCTACATTGGTATACCAATTTTTTTTAATATCAACTAAACTAAACAGAACACGTATAGTATACAATATACGCTTTTCAAATGGCTTTATAGTTTGTAAAAGAATAAATTCTGAAATAAAGCCAGTGTCCCTGCGGCTCGACCCAAGCAAGTATTATAATATTACAAGAAGAATTTGCATGTCAAAAACCCATGATCAATTATACCTTGCTTATAACATGCGGTCGGAAAGATCCCAATACGACATCAGCAGCGTTTGTTATCGGCCGCGAAAATACCGGTCGAGAGCCGTCATCTTGCGCTGTGTAGTGCATCGTTATTATAGGTTGTAGCAACATTTGTTGGGACACGTGAGTGCCAAGTGTCAGTTGACCACTTGGGTTTTCTGGGTGGGTTTTGTTCTGAAATAGAATGAAATTATTGTTCGTTAGATTGTACTATACTAAATGCAGTCGCGTAGCGTCGATTTCTGACGCCTTAATTTCACGATTACAAAAGTAGATCGTTCGGTTCGAACGTGTTTTTATGTTCGCCTGCCATCGCCACCTTTGTGTTGTTCGGGATATCGTTTTCCCAATTAGTAGTTTAAAAAAAAAATAGTTTAGGAGCTCGGCCGCGTTCACCGCCGCCATTGCTGTGCCATGGCCCCCTCTGCACAGATATTTATAATTGATTTATTAATATCCTATTTTATTTTATTTTTTATTTACGGCATAATAACATACATCAGACACAAACAATATAGAAAAAAAAAACACTTAAAAATCAATATAGTAGGTATCTGTGCCCAATTAGAACTATCCTCAACATTCAAAAGTAGATATAATTAAACGGACGCTGAATTTATTATTATTATAGATATGCCACAGCACACATTTTAATATACATATACATATACAGTGTGATTTTTTTTAACTGGGACAGTTTGAGGAAATTCGAAACCGTAGGTGATACAAGGATACTGTCTTAGGAACCGTTATGTCTTTATATATGTATATATATATATATATATAATATTTTTTCTGCCTTAGACATTGTAAACTATTGGAAGTTCACCTTCACATTTAATTCTGATTACTTACTTGACAGGGGCTATTAGCGCTTTCGAGCACGAGTCTGAACGTGTGCCGGGTGCGAACGTTGTCCTGTACGCCTTGGTTCATGCCGCGGTTATCGTCACGACTCAGCCGCCTGTCTTGCATTACCTGAGAATAATGCGTCAATGACTATTTGTATTGGAGTTTTCCTAACCTGATTCGCAGTATTCACTTCGTGAAGAGTGTAGGTTGGAGTCCACATGCCAGTAAGCTTCAACATGCTAATGCACAAGATAATATCTGTATTTTAACGCGGACTCGATGAGGGATTCACTTCAAAAGACGCAGCACAACACGTTAACAATAACGACATTAAAAAGAACCTATGCATCAGTTGGCTTTTCTATAAAAATGAAAAAATAAATAACGACGAAATAAAATCTCAATGGCTCGCACACCGGTTTTCATGACATCGCCATCTCTGAGGTCCCGGGTTCGATTCCCGGCTGGGTCAATGCAGAAACTAGCATTTCTATATTGTCCCGGGTCTGGGTGTTCGTGGTACCGTCGTTGTTTCTGATTTACATTACACAAGTGCTTAGTTACTTACTTTGGGATAAGAACAACATTGTGATGTTGTCTAATATTCTGTATATTAGATTAGTGTTTTTTTTTTAAATAGGACAGTATGGGGAAATCCGAAACCATAGAAGATACAAGGAAACTGTCTTAGGAACAATAAATAATAAATCAATACTATATTAAAAAATTATACATTTTGTATGAAAACCATTTTATGAAATTTGACAACCTTCTGCTGTCTCGATTTTTTTCGTCTCATACAATGAAATGGTCCTTATACAAAAGTGAGTTGATCAGCACTAAAAAAATTTGAACACTTTTATTCATTTTTTATTGACAACTCACGCTAAAAATTGACTATACAAAAACTGTTTTCACAAAAAAAGACTTAATGGTTTCTAAGACAGTTTCCTTGTATCTTCTTTCGGATTTCCCCATACATTTCCTTTTAAAAAAACACTATATTTATTTAAAAAATAAACATAAATACTTTGGTACTACAATACAGTCGTATATTATGTTACAAGAGACGTAAGGAAGCAATTACAAATAGAGTAACATTTATACCGCCCAGACGTTACATATTGCTATTCCGCCGATAAGGCATATTAAAATTGTGTCACATTTGCGAGTAACTCTAAAAAAAGGTAAATTGAATATAAAAGTGTTATAGTTAATACATGTTATAAAATTTTGAGTTTTTAAAAAAAAACACTAAATATTGTTCATTGGAATTTTACTATAAATTTATACCTCCATCTGACCCGGTTGCAAGGCCGCCATTCCCAAAGGCGTAGACGTGAGTATAGTGAAACGAGTGTTATCATCTTCAATGTATGCGGCCGCTGGTAAAGGATAGTAGTTGGCCTGGATTGGAAGCTTCTCGAAGTACCGTCGTTTAATCATCTGAAATGCATTTTTTCAAATCAAGTGACCAAGTCGTGCGTCTGGTGATACGCTACACGTGAGTCCATAACCGTTGCAGTGTCATTCAGAGCTTCGCAAAGGTCTTATGGGTACTGCCACTGAGCCTGCCACCCTGAGACAGTACTAAGTTGACAAGTGTCTGTAATTTTACCAGCACCACCACCACTTCAAAACCGGAACGCAGTATTTGGCGGCAGAAATAGATAAGGTGGCAGTACTTCAATGGACAAACTCTTTCATAAGGAACTCCACTGCTGCTTATAAACTTAGACTAGATAGACTATAGTCTGAAATTTAGTAGTAGCGGCTGTCGCAACACTACAGCGATTCTACAAGCGTCTAATTTGAAAGCGCCCTTAAAATTAGTTATTTTTGTAACAAGAGCGGTTGCGGATTCACAAGTCTTCCAACAATTGTGAAACTTCATCCAAAATACAGATTCTGTCATAATCAGAGGTCTGGCAACATCATTATTATATCATGTTGTAACTCAAAGGACAAACGAATTCCAATCTTATCTCTTACAGTTAACTGTGACCGTAGCATGTTCTGTTACCAAAAATGTGTACGTGTAGCTGACGATAACCAGGTACGTGTTCTAGCGAGTGAAGACTGTTTCACGCGTACACACCAGAACTTCGTTACGTCACGTCACGTTACAGTTACAGCTCGCTAATGAGTACCCGGCTTAACTTGGACCATTTGGACACTTTGGACCATTGAGATGCACTTTTGATTACGTATAATTAAGCAATAAGGCAGTAAGTAGTAAAATACGAAATGTCCGTTATTATAAAGTTAAAACTATACCTGCATGCCATTCAGATCAGTATAGAACACGTCGCCATTCTGTATGTTGGTCGAGAATCGCATGGCAAGTTCAAGATTGTCTGACGCAGGATCGATTAGGAACGTGTTCCCGATCTCGATCTCGCTTTGAGGCAGGGATGGGTTGTTGTTTATTGATATCTGAAAAATTATACAATATGGTAATGTCTGTCGCTGTTTACTATATAATGTTAGTGGATCATCTACATCGTATCATAAGATACCATTGAACAAGGGGACAGGAGAGTTTAATTTGTTTGATTTTCAGTACCAATTATATTTTTTTTGTTTGTTAAAGTTACTTATAGGACATCTTGCGAGTGGAAGTCTTGAAGAATTGTATATTTTGAGATCAGTATATGTTGAGACAAAAACATTTTGACTTCTCAATTCTGCAACCTATGTAGACTAATAAATGAGAAAGACGGAGCGACCACGAGTTTTTATTTCCATTGGAGATAAGCGAGGCATATCTCTTGGAAATTAATGAATAAATGAACTGTATTAGTACGGGATAATTTGGATTCGAGCAAAGGTAGTACCGACTCTTCAATATTAGAATTTTAAACATTGTAGATGTACTATATGCGCTCCATTTGTGCTTAAAATTTTATTTCATCATCTACATCGTAAGCCATGTAATGAGTAATTATTTTTCTTAGAACACCCAGGGGGGGTACAGCTTAAATTAAAAACGTACCGACAATATCACTTCAGCCTTCTTCGGACCAATTAATGAAGTGTACAACGTGGATTTATGTATGCCCTCGGTTATGACCAGTTCCGGATACGGCTCCGGAGTGAAAGGCGCCGCCGGACCGGACGGCACGAACAGATACCCGCCACTGTTGTTGTCGTGCTCTTTTTTACTGTCGTAACTGAAAATCCCAACATTTTATTTTATTTGGTTCATAAACTGAAATACACAATACATACACACAACAAACTCCATACAACACAGTATAGTTCCTTAAATGAGTCTAAATAATACCTATTCACTCTCGCCTTGAAAAGGTCCAAGTTATAACGTTTGGGGAACAAGTCCGCAGGTAAGGAATTCCACTCCCACCATAACATAGGGGTGAAACTCCAGCCCACGTCTAGACAAGTGACAGAGGTCTGTGACAACTCTGTACGCTGGCTGCTCTGGGGTCAGAACCTGAACTTATAAGGTTCCCGTGCGCGCGCAGGTTATAGTGCCTTTCTCGTATCGGGTCGGTAAATATGGTGCTGTTCCGGTCTGAAGTGGAAGAAAGGGTCCGAGTTTTCTAGATTTACATAGCGCCGGATTCGGAACGAATAAGAATGGGATGCAGTTCGCGAACGCGCTTACCTTTTGAAGCCGAAATGCAGTAACCCTCACAACAAGGAGCTCTACTACTACTAGAATGACATTCAAATTGGTAATTTAAGCTAAAAAGTGACCAAATACTTACTGAACATAGTCCATATGAATAGGCACAGGTTTCCCGTCAGTAGATATACTTTTCAATAACCCTTTCATATCAGCTACAACGCCAGTATTGCCTAACTTGAAAGACACATCTTCGGATAGACGTCCCTGCACCTGTTCCACAGCGAACATCTTTGGGAGATCCACATTCCAGTAATCCGCGTTGTAGATACGCACGCGAGCGTACGATGTGTATCTGAAAGATTTGTGATTGGTTAATACGATGAACATAATTAATAACTTTGTCTTATCGAGTTCTTAGGTTTTCGCGATTGTTACACGTAGGAAATGAAACTATTTTTCCGGATTTAAATCGCGTATATTTGTTTTTTCAAACAAACCGACGTTTCGGGCGCTTTACAGGTCCCATGGTCACGGTTGACTGAGGTGGTACAGTCTTCAACCAGTTATGTCAATATTGATGCAAACCACCCTATTTTTTCCACTATAGTTACAATAGTTATAAATTAAATACCTTATTTTTAATTTTACAAAGAAAACGTTCCAATTTACGCTACATTAAGTTTTACAAATTATTTTATTGAATTAATTTTTATTAAGTTCAATTTATTATTAATTAATAATAGAAATTAGAATAAACTAAAACTTTGTCTTAATTACGGTAGTTCCCTTGACTTTCTCCCTCTATTTCTTTCACGTGAACTAATGTACGAAAACACTTACGCAGCACGCTCGTATGCCTACGTAAGTACGTACGAGCAAAGACCAACATAGTATTATTTGTCATTTTCAAATTACATTTGAAATCGTCATTTTGATTCAAAGCCTGCTCATTCGTAAGGCAGATTCCCCTGAGAAGAATGAGTAAGAAACTACAGGGTTTGTTTTTTTGTAAATAAACATTTGTACACAGATCACCATTTACAATATTTATTTCAAATATCATAAATCGAGACATCCTGAAAGAGCTGAACAGGTCGCTACCATGGATTTTTTGTCATCCAAGTAAATCTTTAATATAAAGTTGTTAAGTGGCCTCGGTGTGACAACAGATGCTGGTTAGAGTCTTGCTCGAAGGAATTTTTCTTGGTATTGTTCGATTTTGTATCAATAATAAAAATTTTGTTTCACTATAGTTATAAACTCCGTAAATGGCAAATTTTGAAATGAAGATTCCGGTTGATACATTATTATAGAAGCGTATACTTGGACGCAAACAACCAATTGATCAATCGGCTTGATACACTCGTGTAACCGGTCATTATAACATAATATATGATAAAAACTCACTTGTTAATTGCGGAGCTGTCTCTCAACGAGACAGTGTACCCGACGGCAGCCAGCGGGAGCACGCTCACGGGGAACGACAACTGGAACTTGCTAGCAGCGAAGCCAAGTCGTCTTTCACCTGCTACTATGGGTGACACTTGCGCCATTAGCGGGTTTCCTTCTGGATCGTACACCTGTGCGGGTAAAGGACGGATACAGCGGTTATTTTCTATCGCACCCTCCATGGACGATTGGCATAAGTGGAGTTACGCCAAACATGTTTATTGTTAAATTAAATACAGAAAAATACACATACACATCCTCTCCAATTATTGTAACTCTATCTGCAATATTAGTCGCTAGAGTTACAAGAATTGGAGAGGACATGTTTTACATTTTTCTGTATCTAATGGAGCAATAAACGTTTTTGACTTAACTCCACTTATGCCATTCTTCCAACATACAAAGCTAAAATGGCGGAGTAAGCTCAAGTATGTGGAACTCCGAGTACTGTTGGCACATGTGCCACACCCACTAACCACTTGTAGTGTATTTACTTTTATGTTGTACATCTGTTGCTTAGTTAGTAAAGCGGTGGCCCCGGTGTAGCAACAGGCGCTGGTTCCAGTTAGACCGAGGGATTTTTTCTTTGTGTTGTTCGATCGTTGTATCAATAATAAAAGTGACTATCAACATAAAAAAATATAATAAAAAATATGGTCGTTTCATGTTTAAACTCACCTCAACATGTGGCGAACTAACAATTAATGTCAAAATCTCGGTTCTCTTAAAAGCAAGCGCGTTGTAAAGAACAACACGTCTAGATGGAGATACAGCATCCAATGCGATCGTGATCCTCGATGGTATTTCGTCATGTTTCCTCCAGATGTCATCTACGTCGAAGAATATGTCCTTTTGGGTTTGGTCTACGATTTGAGGTTTTTGGAGAAGTAAGTACGAGGCTTGTTGGATTGCAGATTGGGCGTGTTTTATTGCTGTTAACAATCTGAAAATGGGTAATTGTAATATAAAAAAGTGCCTTTTTTAAGGACCATTTGCTTCTAAAAGTAATGTCGGCCTCAGGGTTCAACCCCACCCATCTGCACGCATCAGCACCGTGTCGATTTTACGGTCTGCGCACTTCTCTAGTCCATAAAAAATAAAACACACGCATAGTGCGGTTCGATGTGTAGTGAATTTGAATCATCTTTAGATTTCTATCACCCATTATTCACCCAATTACTGAGCACAAGTTCATTTGTATTGTCAATTTTTTTAAGATCATAGATACATACACTGTACTTAAATAACGTTTATAAAAAATACAAATCGGAGACATATTTTAAATTTTTATCTTCTTTCACAATATATCGATAACAGCAACATAACTATTTAAAATTTTATGAAAACTGGCAACTCTACAAATGCCATTTTACTCCGTCTTCAAAAAAGACAGACTATAACAGGCATGTTAGCAGCAGGCGAATGTAAGATTACTAGAGTATGTATACGTGTGAGTTTTGACCCTTAGTAAATTAACTTACTTCTTAGCATAGTCTTCTCGTACTTCATCCCTGCAGGTACCAGTGATCCCGTCATGATGCTGGAACAGTGATAGCGAGTTCCGCGCCTGCGTCATACGGTCGCGAAGTTGCAATTCCAGTACTTTACTTACAAGGCCTGAAGATATTGCTTGCACCATTACTGAATCCGCTGCCCTAGAAGTTAATTTACTTCTTAAACCGACTTCAAAGAAAAAAGTGAACTTCACTTCCAGATCTTTGAAATTGTAGCATGTTTAAATTCGGCCACACACAGTCGGAATTCCGTTTCGGAATGCCTTTTTAGAATATCGATTCGAGATTCCGTATAATAAATATGCATCACACACGGTCGTTTATTTCAATTCGGTATAACAAGTCTCAGTTGAGACGAGGCATTGAATCCAGACATTCTAGCAGCAAATGTGGAACTTGATGGTTTTGTAATTGCGGTTGCAATAAATAACGAAAAAATGAATAACGCACCCACTCATAGCCCCGCACTAAGGAAACCATAGACAGGCACATAGACAAGAACAAATTACACCAAAAGTCACGAGGAAAACAAATGTTGGCCATACAAATATTTTTCTCAGCGCACGAATCGACCCCGGACGGAGTTTAAGGAGGTATTGTTGTTGCTAAGAAAAGAAAGAACTCGCGTTTACTGGATTCATTCCCTGAACACCTAGAAACTGCAATATCGTCGGTTAAAAGGTAAAACTCATTAAGTGACATTTTGTTCAAAAACTAGATTTTTTCAATTTTGCTTTATTGGGAAGAACATCTATGACAAGAAAAATTCAGTAAGTCTGTGGTGTCCTTCACGTTTTAATACATACCAGTCCTTTAGTGATTTTTCATAATGAAAAAATACAAAATCTTAATTATCTCCCTTTGGCCAATTAGGCTATTAGTGAGTTTTACCTTTTAACCGACGATATAGTCAATTTTATGCAAAAAGACCTAATTTCGATCCAATCCAGAGAAGTTATTTAAATATTATTGGATATCAGATATCGCAAAAATAAATAAGGGGGCTGGAGCTATAAATAATAAATATCTCCACTCGCTTCAGTCCTGTGATGCACATTACAACGCATTCCGAAGGGAATTTATACCTATATTTGCAACTGTGTGATGTGACCCATGTAGCATCTACGGAAAACATGCATTAAGAACGACTTTTCTACATGCGGGATTTCGAATGCACAAGCTACCGTGCGGAATTTCGAAGCGGAGAAAATGTTAACGGATATTCCATAAAAAAATTCTGTGAGTTAAGTCCGTGTTTAGTATAGATTTCTTGCCTTCGAAATTCCAACTGCATGTGGCCTGCCTAAATATTATATTCGAAAATTAATTCTTCGACGTTTTCATTCGATCTAAGTACAAATACGTAATTTCTTTGTACCTGACATACGCAAGTAGGACCCTATCCATGTTTTTATAAAAAGGCCTGGACGTAAAATAGCCACTCCAGTAGTGCTGGTTCCGGTCCGCGTAAGTGAAGAAATCGCCTGAGAGTGTCGGGAAGTCGGACAGTTTCACGTCGTCATGGAGAGCCTTGAAGTAGTCTTGGAGGGTCCCAAACTGGACCTGTAATTAGGAAGTTAGTCACCATTATTAACCATTAATAATAATGTGCCAGACAATCACACCTATTGCCAGATCTGAAACTAGGGAATTCCCAGTATTAGGAGTATCAGAGCAACAGAACTCACTCTGGAGCACTTTTCAGAACAACCAGACTAGAACCAATTTAGAAAAGTTCGCTTCCTAAATTGATCAAGCCGTGGAGCCAGCCACCTAGGTCGTCCAATGGCTAGCTGGTTTTCTTCCGGTTTCTTTTAGTCTCTGATTAATACATTCGTCTGCTTCCGTAAAAGCCCGAACGACTCCGAAGCATGTATTAAACAAAAAATACTGTACCATAGGAAATTAAACTGTAAACCAAATCACGTACATTTTTTTTAACAGACCAACGTTTCTGGTCTTTTACAGGTTCCACGGTCCCGGCTGACTGAGGTAGTAGTCATCAATCAGTCTAATATTAATGCAAACCACCTTATTCAGAACTACAGTTAACAAAAGTAATTATTTTAAATACGTTATTTTTAATTTATCATAGACAATTCCAATTTACCCTACATATGATTTGCAAAATACTTTATTTATTTATTTACTTTTTATTATAATATAAAAATCGTAAACTTCGAAAAAAAAATTCTTTTAAGCGACTGGATTCGAACTAACTTTGCTAGAAGAGCAAACCGTGCCAGACGCTACGTATCCAACACAAGACACACATTTGCGTGCGTACATTGGGCGCTTTCAAATTAGACGCCTATAGAAGCGCTGCAATGGCATTTCAGTAATTTCTAGTTCACTAATTTTAACTGCAAAAAGGCGCGCGCGTGTCACGATAATGGCGCTGCAACTGTGCTTCTAAACATTGCATGAAAATGCAATATTTAGAAGCACCGAATCTTAAATGTTGCATGTGTCTAAATATTGCATGAAAATGTAATAGTTAGAAGCACTGAACGCTAAATATTGCATGCTTTCAAGTATTGCATAAAAATGCGATAGTTAGAAGCACTGAACCCTAAATATTGCATGCTTCTAAATATTGCATGAATATGCAATATTGCATGAAAATGCAACATTCAGAAGCACTGAACCTTTAATGTTGCATGTGTCTAAATATTGCACGAAAATGCGATAGTTAGAAGCACTAAACCCTAAATATTGTATGAAAATGCAATACCCTAAATATTGCATAAAAATGCAATATTTAGAAGCACTGCAGGGTTTCTATAAGCGTGTAATTTGAAGGCGCCCTATGTGTTTGTTACGTACCATGTATTGGGTTTTTCGGGTTTTATCGGCGTAAGCGATTTTGTGTCTGTGTTATCTTTATATTAATAATTATATAAAGCAATCTGGATTTTGAAATAGCGAAGCTCCGGATCACATTTGGCTTTTGCAAAACTTACTATATTCCTAATACTAACCTCAGCGTTGTATTCGACGTTGCTATTGATGTAATCAATGAGCATTTCGTAGTTCAAGTACTGATTGTCCCACTCGTTGGCGCGATCGTAACGGAAGTCGTCGCCGAGTGGTACCATCAACACGTTACTGCGGTATAGTTGCGACTTCTTACGCCACTGATCCAGGATCATGAAAGCCCTGAAAATAGAATTGGTTTCGTAAGAAAAATAAGTACTCTTACAAACATATTAATTACTACAAACGTAGATTTAACGTAACAAAACATAAGTGGACATTTATATTTATGATTGATTTAAACTTTAAAAATTAAAATAAGATCAGCAATAATAACTGTTTTGTAATTTTGATGTTTAAATGTGGAAGTTTGTAACAGGCTTTTACGATACCTCCACTGAACACCACGCCATCTTTATTTTTAGGTCATGTTCTGTTTTTTCTTCTAAACAGACATACTTATTTACTAGAATTATGCTCTCCGAATTTTATGGGAAAAATAAAACAAAAACAAAAAACAAAACTCGAAAACAAAAACAAAACTACGAATTATGTGGGAAAAAAAGAAACAAAAACAAAATAAAAACAGAACAGGTGCAAAAATTAAGTTGGCATAGTGTTCATTGGAGGTATAGTTTTGATGTTATTTTGTTTATATACTATTATCTTATTAATAGCTAGTAAAATAAACAAAAGAACACAAACCACCTGGCAAACTAACGGATGCGGAATGACATACAGTCACTCCGCATCCGTTAGCTTGCCAGCCGGCATCAATACATGGCGAGCCGATGGCCAAAAAAGTTATAACACGTACCTGTCATGAATATTTTTCTCTGTAATCTTAACAGGTGGGACACCCCATGGACAAGTGACGCCATTACCCGGTAGCCTCTTGAAATCAAATTGACAACAGATCTGAAAAAGAAAACAAATTTATTTTATTGTAAGACTTTGTATTTACTGCTACTGAAAAGTGTTTGATTCCATAATATAAATCATTTACACCCAATACCAAGATCTGTGACGGGCATATAGAGAAATTAGTAAGGTCTGTTGAGTCGATCTGTTAGTAAAAGCGGTAGGCCCCGGTTTGGCGAATGGACGCTGGTTCAAATATATTTATCGAAGCAATTTTTCTGTGTTTGTTCAATCTGAGTATCACTAATTAACAACGAAGTGATGAAGTTACCACCACCATCAACCCATTTATACGTTCCACTGCTGGACATGGCCCTATGGCCTAAACTCTCGCCTGAGAGGAGAGCCACGCTGAACAATCTTCGACGCGCAGGTTTCATCACGATGTTTTCCTTCACCGTAAAGCTCATTGTAAACTTCAAATTAAATTTCGCACATAAAATACCGAGAAACCCGGATTTGAACCCAACGGCCTCTGCCTGCGATAGGTGAGTATATGAATACCATACATATATCCGTAGTAAGAACATCATGACATTCAATAAAATAAATATCTACTTACTTATAATATAAAATTTAAATTTTCGATACCTTAGGATCAGGACCACAAGTGTGTGGCACGTCGTAAGAATAGAACGGCATCATGTGCGTGAACATATCGGTGACACCCTTGCCGTCTGTAATTGATTTCAAAAGCATATTCAAATGAACTCTATAAATCGATACCTCCAATGCTCACTACGCTAACTTTATTGTTTGGCCGTTTTCTATTATTTTTGTAAACAGCCATTTTTGTTTACTAATATTATACTCCCCGAATTTTGTGTAAAAAAAAATAAAGAAACAAAAACTAAATACGAGAATAAATAAAAATAAAAATGTTGTGAAAAAACATAAACACACAAAGTATTTTTTTTTTATTCATTTATAAAGCATTGGCTTCAGAGCCATCAGCTTAATGGTAACAAATAATCAAGAAACGCACAACGTAATATACGTAAACTAAAAATTAATTCGTGTAAAAAATGTAACTATTAAAACCCGCCATTTTTTTCACAAAATAAAAACAGAAAAGGTCGAAAAATTAAGTTGGCGTAGTTTTTTTTTATTATGTAGGCAGCAAACAAGCATACGGCCCGCCTGATGGAAGCGTCAAAGGGCCTAAGCTGGCATCCAGGAGCTTCCGTCCAAAGATGGCAGCAGTATTCCATGTGGGGACGGACTTGTGACTATATAAAGTAGCAGTCTCTGCTCCGAAGTGAAATACCGCTTAGCCCTGTTGAGCACACCAAGCTTTTTGGATGCCAGCTTGTTTACGGCTCTCCTCTACGAAAGATCAAGGGGACTTAGCATGGCCAACGTAATAGGTGTCCACCGTGCTGTTATCCGCGTAACAGTGAATGCTGTCAGTAGACAGCATATCATTGATGTGCAGCAAAATCAGCGTTGGGGACAGCATAGAACCTTGCGGGACACCACCGTTAATGTCCAAACCGTCAGAGCAACTACCGTCGACGACGGCGCTTCTGCTGGACAAAAAGCTGTCAACCCATTTGCATAGCCCCTCGGGTAGCCCGTATGATGGTAACTTCGAAAGAAGACTTCGGTGCCAGACCCGGTCAAACGCCTTCGCCGTATCTAGGCCGACAGCCAAAGCCTCACCTTGACGTCATAGTGTTCATTGGACATATCCAAATAGGCCATTATCAAGGTATAAACATAATAGGGACGAGGAATATGCAATACCATATAGTATGAAATATCAACACAATACTGCACAACGTTTTCGAAACGATTTTGTAACATTGCTCTCATGTAACAGTTTATATTTATATCGAGCAATAAGTTCACGATCTCGACAGCCTAAGAGCGTTTTTGCACTACAACCTATTCGTATCATTTCCAAAACCGAGAAATGACGGTCCGCAATATCACAGGGATCATTTTATCTCTAAGTGTACAAGCGATATTTGTATTTTCTCATATTCGAAACGGAATTATTGCACAAACGAAACCCAAAGAGGATCGCGAGTTTTCTAGATTTGTTTAGTCTCGGATTTGGAACGAATATGGATGGATGGATGGATGGATGGATGCAGTGCGCAAAAACGCTAACGGTTTGCACTGTGAGCGCGAATGAGGAGATTCCCAATTGGGAAATGAAGTTTTGTAAATTATAATAATACATAGATACAATAATAATAATAATATATTTAGAAGGAAAGGTACAAGATATTGTGATGATTTATAGCATTAAAAAATAAAATCAAAAATTTATGGTTGTATAGACAGTCGTGAGTCCATCATAACCGATTCTAAGCTCAAGACCTGTATTTTTTTTTATAATAACAAGTGACGGGACGGACAAGTCGTGCGCCTGATAGTAAGCTACACGCCTGTCCACAGCAGTTGCAGTGCCACTCAGAGCTTTAAATCGCAAAGATCTTAGGGGCACTGCCACTGCGCCCGTCACCCTGAGACATAAATTAACAAGTCGTCAATTGGTTCTGGTCCGTTGCACTTGTGCTCCTAGTACAGGCAATTCCCTAGTTCTAGTGACAAGGGGTACAAGTAAAAAAAATCCAACTTTACAAGCTTAATATGATATTAATAAACGTAAAGTGTTTTTCGCGTTTCCTTGTACACTTGGCTATTTTACTTGTACCCATTTTCACTAGGAGACCAAGTAATTGGTGTGATTGTTTAGCAAATGTTAATCAAAAGTTTTTACTTTCAATTATATGATCTTTTTTTCATTGCGTTCTAATAATCATCCCTTGTGAAAATTACAAAAAATATAACAATTATAATGGTCGTTGAAAAAAAAAAACAAAGACATAGCCTTACCCCATAGCTGTCTCCATTTGAACTCCAACTGCCTATTCAACGCTAACTCCTTCTTCACTATGTAATGCACTCGTTGAATAACAGAGTTCTCAAACCCGGCCAATTTGAGTAGATAAGGCTGGGCGCTTGAATAACCAAAAGGGTCAATGGACCAGGCATTTTTGGGTATATAATTGAATTTGTCGAGTAACCACTGGTGTCCGGTCGATAATTGTTGTATGATAGCCATCCAATGGGAACTGGCCTCATCATTCATTACCCATCCACCAGTCACTATTTCCAAGTTGCCGGAGTTTAAAAGGCTGTAAAGAAAGGAAATAAATACACTTTCACCCAAATTTAAATTTTAAAACACAGCACAATTTACATTACTGCGGAAAGGAATCGAAGCGAATTTTTGTAACGAAATTGTACATAGCATTATGTACTTTATGTTAATTGTTTAACATTCACATCAGGTATGATACGGTAGCTACGGGTATTCCGACACTGCGTGAGAATTCTCTGAAAGACGCACGACCTGATCATTGGCTCTTATCTAAATAAATATTAGACATCACATACGTAGCTCTGATGCAAAATTAACTAAATAAAGCATTTGTATTATGGAAATCGGAAAAAAAGAATGATTAATTTTTATGGACAACTCACACTTGACCAAATAATTGACTATGCCATTATATTTTTATTAAATTATAAGATTAAAGGAAGAAACTTAATATTACCTCTCAATAGGTCAATTAAAGTTTCTCTACGAATGTCATATTAATGTATGAGAGCGTTTAATGTTAAAATTTTGGATATTTCTAGTATTATTCTTAAAAAGTTAAGTTGATGTCGATTTACTTATTTTTAACATATTTTATATATCAGTTTAAAGTTTTATGATATCTTTTATGTGTATGGAATTATCGCCTGGGCACACTTAACGATTACACCCTGTATACAGAACTCACTGAAGTTCGTGAGAGGCAAAAGTAGGTGGGTTTTATCGCGTATTCGACAACTAAAAGCCAAATTTGAACATGACACGGTCAAAACATTATTTGAATACGACATTTCCCCTTTCGGCTAATCGTCTGCGCTCTGCATCGTTGGTCAAAACCAAGGCCGCAGATGATTACCCGGAAGATATAAGATTTAAATCGTATGTGAAAATGATAAATCATTTTCACATCGAATTTATAAATTAATATTGCTATTTTATTACATATTGTTTAAAATCCTGACGCAAACAGGTTGTTTACATCATAAAATTGAATGACTTTGGTATTCTGTTCCGGGTGAATAGTCTCATATTTGTTCTTTTCAGCTGAGGGAACTATAATTCATTTAGCAATGTCTTGTGGTTTTTCGATTTAAAACATTGCTATTGTTTAAGTCCATGTTTATGTCCCAGATGAATATATTGTCAAAGAGGCTGAATAATTACATAAATACACATGTGTCATGATTGGTAGATTTTAAATTCGTAGTAGATTTTGCGTGATATTAAAGCCATGTGATTGGTCGATTTCTAGCAAAGCGTAAAGGATTTTGTGCTCCCTGCCGAAAACTAACTGGAAGCAGTTCGCCGTTCGAAATACCTCCTAATAAGGCGCAATATCATTTATTACTATTAAATAACCAATATAAGAATATTTCTATTTTCCAAACCTCAATATTTAATAACATTAATTCCTCTAAACCACTTAAAAAATGTAAATAAATAATATTGTGGATACTACGCACACATCGAAAGCAAATATAGTTTTATAAACCAAATTAGAACTGTCATATTAATCTCTTTTAATTATAGCCAACGCTATAATTTTTAGAACTCCAATGAACACTATGCTAACTTAATTTTTTATTTACTAAAGTTACGCTCCCCGAATTTTAGGATAAAAAAATAAAGAAACAAAAAAACATAATTCTAAAAAAAATAATTTTGTGAAAAAAGAATAGAAACAATAAGCGCGTTCCGAATCCAAGAAATGACGGTCCGAAATGTTACAGGGATCTTTTTATCTCTAAATGTACAAGCGATATTCGTAGTGGGTCGAAGTGGGTGGTGGGTCGAAGTGGGCCTGAGTTTCCTAGATTTGCATAGCCTCGGATTCGGAACGAATAAAAGTCAGATGCAGTATGCAAATGCGCTAAAACAAAATAAAAGCAAAGATGACTAAAAAATTAAGTTTGCATAGTGTTCATTGGAGGTATCGAGAAGTCTATTAGTCAAGGTCATCATCAACCCACTATATGTCTCACTGCTAGGCATTGTTCTCTTTTAAGAACAGGGTTTAAGCCACAGTCCGCCGTGCCGGCCTAACGTGAAAGAACCTTCTTCGACATGCAGATTTCATCACGATGTTTTCATTCGTCATTCGAAAGAAGTATTACTACTAAACATCGAGTATATAACGAAAAATAGAAAAGAAATAAACTAGTACAGCGCCAACAACTGACGTGTGTGTACGTCTCCGTATATTTCAAAAATATTCTATATTTATTATAATAAAGATAATATCTCTAACTATGGGGTGCTGTTCCATTCGGTGGTGTGGCGAAAAACAGCAAAACATCTAATTACAAAACAAACGGAATCAAATTTCGTCGGTAATTAAATATTAAATGTGTAATTTTGCAATTTTCGTCCATTATAGCAAAGCTCAAGTTAACTGGTCGCACTAGGGAAGCCCTGTGTCGCGGGTGCCATGGACACTCACATAGACAACCATAAATTACACTCAAACTCACGAGATAAATAAATGTATGTCATACAAATATTTTTCCCGGCCCGGGAATCGAACCTGGCACCACTGCGTGCAGCATGGTAACCGTTCGGCCACAGAGGCAGTTTTAAGTCGTAGGTATATGCTTTCACAGGAATTGGAACCTTTCAATTGAGAATTGAAAATTGTCCACAAGAAGTTGCCCTCTGCTCGAGACGCGGTCAGTCAACCCATTAGAATACCATGGCAACATAGTGATTGTATTAATGGTTTTTATGCGAATGGTACTCCACTACAATACGCAATTCCGAGCTCTCGCTAATTATCACTCTACTTAAAAGTCTATACAACGTCAAATGGCTTAGGGTAATTCCGCACAACAGTGAAGTGTTGAATGAATCACTTCGGAAAAAATATATAGTAAAATCGAGGATATACAGTGCTTACTATACGTTGTGAAATCACGATTCCCTAAAAATGTTCACGAAAGAAAAAAAAAACACAAACTGACCTCGAAATTTGACAAGAAAACCGCTGTATTCGTTCAATAGGTACTTTACATATACCAATGATTTTTTTTTAATATTAACTGCACGAAATAGAACACCTATACTATATGATATACATTTTTCAAATGGCTTTAATTTCGATTGTAAAAATAATAAATTCTGAAATAAAGCCAGTGGCCCTGCCGCTCGACCCAAGCAAAACGAATCATATTAGTACGGAAAAAATTTTATCGACTCGTAATCAAAATTAAAAAAAAAACCCTTAAATTACTTATACAAATTATTATGAAAAAGTCTCAATAGATTTTTTTACGGAAACTAAGACAAACGAACAGACGAGCCACTTCACGGGAAGTGGTCATCGTCACCGCAATCACAGTCACTGCAACAGAAGAGTCTTTGAGAGCCCTCTTAACTCGGTTTTTGGAAAACCCGTGTCATAACACAAAGGAAAATGCTTCAGGAGGCTTAATAAATAAAAAACTTACGAAAAAAGGCACAACTTTGCGTACTTTATACAGCAGTTGTGCCTTTTTTCGTTCCGAGGGTAGAATATATTTGTTACTTCGCGTTTCATTCGGCTCCATAGGACCAAAAACTTGTTAGGTCCTTCAATAAAATTTCCAATTTTTCACTCTTGTTTTATGGATCTTCAATAACAGTGGCCTGTACATAAAAGGATTTTTTACTTTCTTGTTGGAATCCAGTAGAATCCTACTATTTTATCAGTACGGTGTCTCCAAAATCGTACCAGCCTATTCAATGCGCCGCGGGCGCTCCCGACAAATCAGAGCCCGTGAATTATCTCGCGAGATTCAATCTACCTCGATCGCTTACCCTGACTGACAAGTCGCGTCTCGGCCGGCCGTAACAGTAAAAATATTCTCCAATTAATTACCTTTTAAAAGCTGCCTTGTCTTGATCAGTGGCGTCCATTGTCCACCAGAGCGCGAGGTAACTAATCTCACACCAGATAAATTTCCTACCGGGCTTTTCAGCTAACTTCTCCACCATGTTGGTAAATATTGCCCTCGTTTGAGTTTTGTAGTAGTTTTCGAAAGTTTTTATCCAGCCTGTGATTGAATTAATAGTTTTAAAATAAGACAGAATATAAAATTTTTAAATATTAAAATTAAAAAATTATACCAAATAAAGATTAGATCAATAAAAATGGAAGAAAATTAATTTGCTACTCCGCAGACCCAGTGCAGGTTACATCGCGCACAATAGCTGCGCTTGTGTTGAAAAATTTTTCACGCCGTTATTTTCTGAAAGTTATTTTGCACGATTTAAACTTCACTGGGCTCGTGGAATAACAAATTAATTTACTTCCATTTTTATTAACATGGACTTCCGCAAAGTAAGTCCTAAATCTATTAATTTATTTAAAGAGAAGATCGCTAAAAAGGCAATGGCAGTGTGTTTTCCGTCGGTAAAGAAACAACACCACCTACCCTTTACGTCAACGTTCCAGTGGCCGTAATACTGCAAATGTTGAATGAATGATAAAAATATTCTTTATTTCACATAGAACAATAATACAAGTACCACAAAATAATCTTAAGTACAACAAGCGGCCTTTACAATTTACATCAAAAGTATAGTAATTGAAAAGTCATATTACAAAATTTAATACTTGATGATGAAGATGTATGGAAAGACATGAGTCTAGATTCCACACAAATATGATTCAAAGTGTATTCCATAGCATTTAAGTTTATTTGAAAAGAACAATCCCTAGAATTTTTAGCTCGTTCTTCTCGGGGAAGTCAGCAAAGTGAACGAGCAGTAGCTTAAAAAAATATGTTTTGGAAGTGAACAATTTTTATCAATAGAATAAATGATTATTTGACGTTGACTTTATTGCGAAATAGCAATAAATTTTGAATAAAAAACATCAAACAAAATGTTGGTGGATTCTAAAGTGTTACAACTCATTGATTGTCCGAACAAAAACACAATACGCCATTGTTGCTCGTTTAAATTACCTAGTGAATGCCATGAAATACCTATTAACTGCCAAACTTTGTTCTCCGCGGTGGTACAACCTAGAGCTATTAATTACTATGGGCGGAGGCTAAATAAATATGTAGTATTTCGTATACATAATATGAGGTTTAAAAAAGTCCAAAACGTAGTAAATTATATACAAGTTAAATTAAATAAGGCGCTACAGAAAGAAATTCAGCTTTACAAAATGTTCGAAAAATTATTTTATTGTTGCAAGTATAAACTTGCATTTGTTATTATAAATTATAAATATTATTGTTGTTTTGGTTAATAAGCAAGCCTGATCTACATGAGAAATACCTTCTCACTGCTAGGTACCTAGTAAATTATTAGAGCCTATGCACACGGCGTATTTTATACACGCCGACGACGTGCGGTTCACGAGCGCGTCTGCGGCGCGTATACGCGCAGATGAAGAGCGTTTACGGTGCCTATAAAATACGCCGTATGCATATTCGGCACCACTCTTTAAGTGGATCTATAATAGTGAATGAGCGTCGCCAACAAACTGTCTCCAATTTAGTGGGAGATAATCTTCTGTAAAATGTTTATTGAAAAAAAATCTTATAGCCAACACGTCAGCCATGGGTGGCAATTACACATTGTCATTTTTAAATACTGTTCTCTAAGGCATATTATTCTATAATAATAATAATAATAATAATAATATTTCTTTTCTAAAAATTTTTGATTTACAACATAAATATACAACAACTTTATTACAATACAAGATAAGATCCCCGACTCTCAAAGTAGCGTAACCTGTGACATGAGAGCCAGTGTTCTATACCTGTCTCGTTCTAACAACTTCTTATTGCAAAAAGAAAGAGGGAATAAGAATTACCTGGATCGTTATGTGAATGAGGTACGATGAACACTTTAAGTTTATTCTTAGAGTTCCATTGCTGCTCGTTGTATTCGACATTCCAACCTTGTTTCCACACACCCCCGTCTTTGTCGTCAAAGGACATCCTGTCGTACAATGATAGCATCTAAAAGAGACAATAGATATGTAGGCAAGCAACAACAATATAGTCCTTTTGCTCACCGACTGCCGTTTTTGCTCTATTGTTCTATTTACATCGCCGCGGAACGGGACTAAGCGAATTCTTGTAACATAAATTAACTTTATATCAATTATGTAACGTTTAAATTAGATACGCGCCAAAAAACAAGTTTTCAAAAACATTAATCTGTAAGTACTGCATTTGATAAAGGTTATTTCAATGTACCACGGAATCCTGTGACCAATACCTTCATTTTTATGTAATTAATTATAGTGCAACTTATTAGGTACAACTAAAACAATGTGACAACTCTGCGCTTCGAACGAAGCGCGAAGTGTAGACATTGACGCGCCGCCGAACAGGCGGGAGTAGCACTACTTATTATATTACGATGATACTGTCATTTTTACATCGAAAAATGCATGAGCATGATTTTTAGATCGTGTAACGATGACTCTGTAGTGTTAGGGCGCGTTCCCATTATGTCGTAACGTTGTATTTATAGTTGAGCAACTGTCGCGTCTAGCCAGTTTCCATATCACGAACATCTATCGTGACTGTATCGTAGACGTTTATTTTATCGTTGAATGGCCGTCGTGTCTAGCTGTTCCACTAGACTATGACGACAATTTATCGGCGCACATGCAGACATAAAACGTCATAAATAAAACGTGGCGATAATGGTAGATGCGATTATTTGTCGTCACATTTGTATCGTGACGTTTTATTTATCGTCTGACGACTATCATTCTAGTTCTTCCCATTATCTGGACAGTATATCGTCGTAACGTCAAAAAAGTCGTGAACCACAGTTAATCGTATTGCTTTATATGGACAACTTCATTTAAATATACAAGCCACGACATTTTATACTGCACGACTATCTGTCGTGCCGACATAATGGGGACGCGCCCTTAAGCTTTGACAACAACACTCGTGATGTAAGTTTAAAAGTTAACTCTTAAGAATTCCGGACCATTTAACGACATATGTTACGTATAATTATCGGTTCATATCATTGACTATGGTTCATATACAAATTTCAATGGAATATCTGTGACTGTGTTAAACGACACAATTAAGCTAGAATAAAAAATACTAGAAAGGAGTCACTACACTTATCGACACGGAATAGAATAAACCCGTTCAGAAAAGCTAGAAGTCCATGTAAAATAAAGGCGACAAAGACGTTTCACTTCCATTCAGACCGTCGGCGCCGAAGCGACAAAGTCTTTTGCGCTCTTCTGAAATGGACATAAAGCGATTCCGCGTTGACAAGCGTGGTGACAAAAAAATCCCAATGGCATTATGCTCACTGCTGCCAAAATACAAATATGAACGAAAAGTATTTTTGATATTTAAACAGAATATGAAAACAATGGAAATAAAAAATATTATTTTTCACACCATTAATGTTTTCAATGTTATTGCAATAATTTTTACTATCAATACAAAATAAAAACAAACCTGCACTTCAGTTTGTAAAGGACCATCTTTCTTTACCGGGCACGTCATCTGATCAAACTTCACAGTAATTCTTTTAGGTGGCTCTTCCCCAACTACCTTTATATCTTTGTACGAATATTTCTTATCCTCGTCGTAGTTTACATCGTTGAAATGTTTATCATAGTCCTTTGGTTCAGATTTCACGTAGTCCTTTTTTCTTTCAGTTTGCGGGCGAGGCGGTGGCGGCGCTTGGAAATGCGATCTATCCACAACCTGGTCAAAAGCGGATTTGATTTCACCAACAACTACATTGTGTTGGTTCAATTCTTTCTCAATATGCTGCAGTTTTGACTCAACTGAAGACCATTTGTTCTACAAAATAATATAAAAAAATGCATGATCTAATTTACGTAGTCATTAAAAAAACAAATTGTATACAATTTAGTAGAAAATATAGTCACTTCTACTGTTGTGACATAAATTAAAGTAAGTATGTATTATAAGTAATAAATACTATATACAATGCATGTCATGTTAATTAAAAACTATATACCACTAAGAAATATATATAGTTTAGATGCTTGTTTGTTACTCAATCTAGTTGTTACGGTTAAACGGGTTGAGATGAAATTTAAAAGATGAACAGTTTGGGTATATTCTTTTTATGATATCAAGCAACAGGACGAACAAGTCATGCGCCTGGCGGTAAGCGACAACTACTCCCGACAGTCGCAGTGCCACTCAGAGCATTAAATCGCAAAACTCTGAGGGGCACTGCCACTGCGCCCGCCCGTCACCCTGAGATATAAGTTGGCAAGCCCTTCACAACCGGAACGCAGTAACGTGAGCAATACTGCTTGGCGGCAGATATAGGTAAGGTGGTAGTACTTCCTTTGACGAACTCATTCACAAGCTTTACTGTTACTAAAATTCTGAATGTTTTATCCTGAAAGCGGCCAAAATACATGAACGTACGAAACTACTCCGGGTACCACGATATTAGTTTAACAACAACTGGGTCCTACCTGATGCAGACCAGTTTTCGAAGGTTTCGGATTTTTCTGATGACAGGACTGGCCCTTACACATAAGTTTTCACGACACTAATACAAGTTAGTTAGAAATTGAATAAAAGCATTTTTCTAAAATGCCAAATAAACTTCAAGCCGAGTGGATGAACTGAAGACTCTTTCTTGAAACCGTAATTTTGTATTGAATTTTGTTCTATTATTATTTATTAGGGTGGCATAATCAGACCCTCGTCACTGCGACCATTAACTGATCTATTGTGATCACCACTAATTACAGCTTGGCCAACATCGGGCAACAACAATATTAATGCCAACAACATTAAAGAAATGAAGGATATTCCTGTGCCTTCCCAGTATGCTGCCGTGGAGCTAAATGAAATGTAGCCCCAATGCGACAAAATTATTTTTTTGAGATGTCATATAAAAACCACAACCCAGTTTTGTAATATCGAAATTATTTAAGGATATTTTAGCTACGCATCCCTAGGGTGCGTACAGATCTAGCAAATGCGCTGCAAACACTCCTGTTTGCGAATTGCTCGCGAGCTACGCACGTGCATTACGTACTACGATCTGTGCGCGTGCCGTTCGCGCGCCACATGTACTAACATATATTTAACAGCGCGCATACAGCACCCGTGCAACGCGCGTACCGCGCAGCGCACGTGTATCGCATTCGCCATTTCTGTAAGCACCCTAAGAGTAAGTTCCGATATTATGTCGGACACGTTATCTCACTTTAACAGCTTTGAGTTCTATCACATGCTATTTAAAACGGATATTTGATCACTTGTCACTTAGCATATTTAAAAGAAAACTTTTAAGTAAAAATATAATAAATTTTAGATTTTTTATTTTTCCATAAGTATTAATTACAGTGTATTACTTCCGATCTCAGTGATTAGATAGCAAAGCATCAAAGATCGGGGATATGAGTGCATATATGGCTTAATATCCGTTTAGGTAACCTGACATGACTAATAAAGTGCTTAAAAAAATTTCTAATTTAATTTACCTTAAAACTTATTGACTCAAGTACTGGAATACAAAACAAATTACATTGCAATTATTAGTATATTTACTTTAATATGAGATTCTCTACTTTATTATGCATCGTATTTGTTTTGTTCATGGCCAATATTATGTGTACAGTTGGTATACATGAATATATGTACAACTACAGTACATTTATATCACAAAACATTTGTTGGAATTTCCTCAATCTTTACACAAATTGAAAAAGAGTTCAGTATCACCATCATCAACCAACGTCATAGGGCCCACTGCCGGGCATTGGCCTGCTCTGAAAGAAATCACTCAGGTTTTCTTTATCAGTAGATTCGTATGGCTCTAAAGGGCCAGAAATGTTGTTTTATTGAAAAAGTTAAAAAAATATACGCGAATTAGATACGAAAAAATTAGTTACATTTTTCAATTGCTCTACCTCTAATAAATAAATAAATAATAACGCACACACTCAACATAGCCCCGCACTAGGGAAACCCTGTGTCGCGGGTGCCATGGACACACACATAGACAACCACAAATTACACCCAAACTCACGAGAGAAATAACTGTAGGCCATACAAATATTTCTCCCGGCCCGGGAATCGAACCTGGGACCTCTGCGTGGCAGTCCGGCACGGTAACCGTTCGGCCACGGAGGCAGTTGATCGCGGGTCCTGACCGGTAGACAGTCACACAACCTCACCCACAGACCCAACCATACACACACACGCACACACATAGTGACAGACACACAAACATACATGCACAGTTACACCCATAATCAACTTTGTAAAGATATAGCATTCGTCAATCCTTTCCATTATAATGTAGTTTCATAATTGTTTTTATTTGTTCATATTAATTTTAATAATTGATTCATAAACTTCTTTGGTATTCTGTTCCTGTTGCACTAATTGTTAACTTGTAACTTGTGATGAGACATTGACTCCCGGCGATATAGGCTTAGCCTGGTGCAGGAATCCCAAAGGAAAAGAAAGGAATCCCAGGAAAACCAATCCTCTGTACGCGATATACACTGCAACAAGTTGTGTTTCTAGCATTGTATTTCATTTCTTATTATGTATCTACCTGCACAATTCTGTTGTCAAAAAAATTTGATTATATTTATCATATTCATAATTTTCAATTATATTTGTCAGTATTTTTGTTATCGCATCAAGCCATGTTAACTCTACAGTAAAAGAAAGGATTATGTTTTATTGATTTCCATTAACACGATGTCGAGTGACAGGGACTATTTCATATTTTTAATAGGTATATTTATGACTCTGGTTTGTCGTAACAGGATTAAGATATCAGTTATTCTATTAAACAGTCTGGCACAACGATGCGCGCTGATATGAGCCCAAAATTAATTTTCATATAGATAAGAATGTAATCAAAAACAATAACACTTTAGTCATGATGAGAAGATTCGGCGTCGAAACCTATGTTACCCTCTAATGGCCATAAGAAACTCACACCTGAACAAACATGTGCCTTAGGCAGAAGTGGTGAAAACGATCAGAGCTAAGAAATTTTTAGGATTTGCCAATCTATGATAGGTATTCGCCGATTATTGCCCAGGGTGCACCATAGGTATGTAAAGGAATGGTGCATCATGGGAGGCAGGTCCTTTCCTGCACCCTCAATTGTGTTTATTACAATATATAAATACCTGGTTGCAGGTTTCAATAAATCGCCCTAAATATAATAATAATAAGGCGAGAATCTAAAATACTCATACTAATAATAATAACAGTAACAATCAATATCAATTGATGATCCATATGATAACTTGTTTGATAACTAAATTAAAACTGAATATCTGTGCCAGTTACATAAGGAGCACTGAGCTACCATCTATATACATAAACTAACGGTGTAGAGGCTTGCTTCAACTATACTTTTGATTGTTTTGAGTTATCAAACAAGTTATTGTATGTAGTATTTATGCTGAGTCAGGGGGTCTACTCTCAATCTCCGCCCGACAAGCGTCCAAAACAATTACTGTGAAATAAGTACTATTCGACAAAATTAAAGTGAAGTATTAAGTATGAAGCTTCATTCGCATCACGTGTCTTTTCATTTGGTCAAGTATTGCTTATTTGGTAGTAATTGTTTCAGACGGATGTCGGACGAGATCGAGAGTAGACCCTCTGGGCCATTTCAGCACAAACTGTAGTCAATAGGTACATTAAAATTTTATCAGTTCTTAGATAGATGAAATCTTTAATTTCTCACCACCATGACAAATACATACACAGACACATGATACAGACATTAACTCAGATGTAACGTAGTAATATATTTTACTAATATCCCTCTTGGAAGCTTCCGCAACGAAAAGGCGCTGACTCAGCATAAATGACGCGGCTGCCCGTGACGTTTCTTATAATATTTGTTTGTTTTCCTCACAGTATGTGTTTTATATAAATTAGTATAAAATTGCTATGCTTTGCTGACGATATGAAGATTATTGCACCGATTTCTTCATTAGCTGACGCGTTTAAGTTGCAGGAGGACCTTATGAGGCTTGATGCATATTGCATTGAGAATCAACTGGACCTTAATCCATCCAAGTGCAGCGTTGTAACTTATAGTCGCAAACGGAATTTAGTGCAATTTGATTATGTATTAAAAACCTCTGTACTGAAACGTGACAAGTTCATACGAGATCTTGGTGTAATTCATGACAGCAATTTGATATTCGATTCCCATGTTAACAACATTATTTCAAAAGCGTCCAAGGCTCTTGGGTTTGTAATGCGCAACTCTGGTGACTTCAGACAAGCAAAGTCACTAAAAATTTTATATTGTTCACTGGTTCGAAGTCATCTGGAATATTCATCGCAGGTCTGGAACCCTCAATATGTGACATACATATCACGTATTGAAAATATACAAAAGAAGTTTCTGAAATATTTATGTCTTCGAACCAAGGAACAATATGAGTCAAGTCGCTACATTGACTTTTGCAGGAAGCATCATCTTCTGCCACTGGAGATGCGTCGCCAGATGGCGGACCTTGTGTTTCTGCATAAAATTGCTTCTGGCTCCGTTGACTGTCCAGAACTTCTGTCTCGAGTCGCCCTTAGAGCCCCTGTGAAGTCTCTTAGAATTACGGCCCTTATATGCGTCCCTCCCGCTTCCTCAAACTTTAGGCAGAATGCATATTTCCTGCGAGCAGGTAATAACTTTAATAATATGTCGAAACGGGTTGATCTCGATCTTTTTAACACTAGCGTTGCATCGGTGAAGCGAATAATTAATGGGTTGTTTTTTGACAGTTAGTTTTTATTAGTATTTTAGCAGTTAAGTGGTGGCTTGAGTCAAATAGTAATTATATTAATATTTATTAATTGTTGTGTTAATTCTTCGGTAGTATTTATATTTTATTATTTAAGTAGTGTCTTTGCCGTATTAATTAGTGCTTATATATTTATTATGTCTTTATTAGTGGGAACCTGTAATTGGCTTTCTATTACTATTTAAATTGTTATTCTGTGTCTGTAGCTGTTGGTTTTCCTATAAATAAATAAATAAATAAATAAATAAATAAATAAATAATAATGAATGTTTTATGTTATACTCTGTGAAGTGATTGTAAATGTTTTGTTTCTGTTTGTATTTGTGCTGTATAAACATGTTATCTATCTATCTATCATATGGAGCATCAATACCTGATTTCATGTCGTAACCATAGATTTAGTATATAGGTACCCATAGATTGGCAATGCAAGTGAAAGAGCGTTAGTATACACGTATGTTAGAGCGAGATGCGTAGACGAGACCACTTCATTATACGCTATGAGCCTGTATGAACCTAGGGTCAGCTGACAACGAAACAAATTTCGTTTATTTTTGAAAAAGAATTGGTTTTAAAATGTGAAATAGTGTTAAACGGATATTTATTAGTTATGGTAACGTGTTCAGTGCCCGGACGTAACTCATCTAAAAAGGAAAACTCGCAGAATTGTACATTTCACATGTAAGTACTATTTAAATTTGTAGCTGTCTAAAAGCACTACCACAAAAGTTTTTTACATAAATATATCCGTAAAATTATACCATTTAAGTGCATTAATAACCCAAATGTATACGAATTCAATTAAAAAATATATCAAATACTTGAATTTCTGAAATTCATAACCTCACTTTCATAGAGATTGACGCAATCGATAATATGTTATCGAGATGTCATTAACTGAAAAAAAGAAAGGCAAAGGCGTGGCTTGCATACAGGCGAAATCATCTTCATACTTAATATTATTGAATCAGAAATTTCTGGTTTTAGTGCTTTATATCTAATTAATATTGCATTAGTGCATTATTTTATGTCTACATTAAAACGAAAATTTCTTTTAATAGTGTAGTTGAGGCTTTTAATGTTAATTATTGTTGTTGATTCAGATTTCCTCAAAACATTGAAGTACGACAGAAATGGCTTATAATGGTAAAGAGATAAGACTGGGCTCCCAAAAAGTTTTCAAAACTAAGCAGCAAGCACTTTGAGGAAAAATGCTTTTCCTTTAGAGGCAAGCAAAGAGTAAAGCTACGTTCTGGTTCTGTACCCACGTTATTCATTCAGCCGGTATGTCTTACAATTAATGGATTTTTGTGTAGTACTACTCTCGTCAACAACAAATCAGCGATTTGTTGTTGTTAGAGTTCTGTTCTGTTCCGAAATACGATACTTACTGATATAGGATCACTTGTGTGTCCATCTGTCCGTCTGTCACAGCCAATTTACTCCAAACCTACTGGACTGATTATTTTGAAATTTGGTACACATATGCATTTGTGTGATCAAAATGTGTAACGTAAATAAATTAATTCTGAATTTGAAGTCGTTATTGGGAGGGAAAGTTCTCAAGTATATATTTTTTGTAATTTTGAAATATAAATATTTTTAAGTTGTTTAAGAAAATAGACGAAAATTGATCATTCTCCCCTTTATTTTCGAAACTACTGAGCCTAAAGTTTTGAAAAAAATGCAGAAATTGTCTTTAAATCTCTCACTATTGTGCGAATAAACCTATATTTGCTGTTAGAATCCGGTGTAATATGTTAATCGATATTAAAGTTAAATCAGTGGATGGCGCAACACTATTTATCTTGCACACATGCACATTACGCACACAGATGTATTTTTGTTTTGGTCTCGTCTCCAATACTTCAGGGCCAATCTATGGATATACTAAATCTATGGTCGTAACATTTATTTTTTTATCTATGATTCATGACCTTTTGAGAATAGTATATCTTCAAAAAGTACTTAGTTACATTTCTATCAATGACAGTTGCAGTGCCCCTCAAGAGCTTTAAATTGCAGAGATCTGAGGGTCACTGCCAATGCACCCATCACCTTGAGACATAAGCTGACAAATCCCGTGTGCCTGCAAGTGCACCAGCACTCTTACCCTTCAAAACCAGAACGCAGTAATGTTCAGATTACCACTCGATGGTAGAATTATGTAAAGTTTTACTGTAACTCAACTAAACAACTCAAGCCAGCAATCTCAAAATTTGTCATGTTGGAAATAATCAAATAAAAATGTTTATATTATATTATATTTTTACAGAACTTACTTCATCTACCTCCTGATATGCTGGTCGAATACTTGGCAGCTTAAAACTCAAATCTGTGGTCACATACAGAATAACTATGAGGGCAAGAATACATGTCGACCAGAATAGAGCTGATAACTTTCGAATCCTCATCTTAGAATGGTAACACTAGCTGGAATACCTGAAATAAAAAGTTCCATTTTAGCACTTTTTTCTTTTTTTCAAAATAGCAGAGCACACACATGGTGTGATTCTCTATCCCTAGTAAAATTTTATTTCCATTCTTATCCAGCAAGTTAAGATTTGTGGAAATGTTTAGATTACAGTATATTTACTAAAAATTAAAAAAATATCCTATCTGTAGTGTGTAATAAAAAAAATCAACTACTCTACCTACTAAAGGCTACTAGGCAAGTAGCTTGAAATATTAATTTCCATTAATGTGATTTCAAATGGCAATGTGTATATCTCTCCTATTTATTATTTAAAAATTCAGTACAAATTTTCAATGTAATGATAGCTCAGTCTATTACATTATCACTAGCATTTCGTCGGGTAGTAACACTTAATAGGTATCCACTTTACAGCCGGTATAATTCATTATCGCTACACTAAATTTATATCCAAGGCACGCAAAATAATGCCCGTAATCTACACAAAAAACCGGCCACATAAGTTATAGTGAAAATAATAAAACAAATCCTTACTTTTTCCGATAAATTAACTATCAGGAAAAATTCAATAGCACATTTTTCACGTCGTACGCGAAGCAGTTAACTTTGTTAAATGTGATTAAACACAACCACGGTCTGTGATTTCTGGATATTAACACATCCTATAATATTTACAATAAAATTAATAAACAATATCTGAAAAATCGGACGAATTTCCGCAAGCCGATCACAGTTCGCTTTTTGTTTTGAGGATATCATTTGACGTGTCGAATCGGGGTTGAAGACGTCAAATTCAATAAATAACTCGTTTTCGTTGTGACATTAGATTAGAGCAATCGGTATTACGAACTTGCGTGTATCCGAGCGTTGATATGCAATCCGTTGCCAGAAAAAAAAGTTACAATAGAAAAAGAAAAAGCAATTTTGTAGAGTGCTATCTCATTCTTATCTTACAAAGTCGTGAATAACTGGTAAAGCGAGCACGACTGTTATCGATTTCCCGAAACTGTCAAATTGTTATGTGAAAAATGGCGTCGAAGGAGTCTCTTGACGTGAGTATTGTATTATTTCATATTAATTTTACTTTTATTTTGACTAAATAGTATGTGTAAATTGTGTAGATAACGTTTCAATCGTCGAATGTTTTTAGATAGAAATATGCATCCTTTTGTTCGAGATATATAAGTAGAAAAGGCCACGCCCTGGAGTCGGTTTCTTTTGTAATTATTTTTTTGCCGAGTTTTACGTTACTATTTTGTATTAAAACGGTTATTCCGAACTTGTTTAACAAAGGCGATGTTCATAAATTTATAAGATAATGTTTCGATTGACCTTTATCGGCTATTTTTAATTCATAAAATAAGCTGGAATATGTGAATATGCATTCGCGGCTTATTGGAATAATGATTTTTTCTTTTCATATTTATCCAGTGATAAGTGTTTAGGCTTAGGATTTTTAAACAAAATGACAGAAAAAATATGTCAGTGTGTAAATTATTGATTTTTTCGTCACCTATATTGATTTGTGCCTTTATGTACCAAAATCTAAGATAATCCGATAATGAAGTGTGAGATGTTTATTTATACAAATCTAGTTTAAAGTCATATCATGGAGGAAACTACTGCTGCACCTTTGCGATATGTACTTGCCATCAAAAGTTTTGAGCAGGTCTCTTTTTTGTTGTAGGTAGTAACTAATACTTGGTACTATACATACTAATTAATAATTGTATTAACAATTTTACCAATAATAAATGTGTTACCAATAATAATAAAAAAAAGTGTGTGGTTACCCGTGAATGGAGTTAACAAATATGGCAGTTTATAGTAATTTCACTAAGACTACTTAAATATACGCCATATTATATTAAGTAGTAATAAACAAACAAAATTAAAATTAAAGTATTAGTAAGAATAATATGGTGTACTTGAAAAATTTAAGAGACAGTTCTTATATTATTAATTGATAAATAAAATAAATTATTCTTATTGCTAGTTATGTTTGGTATGAATATCAAAAATAGCCTACCACATGTTTACATTAAAGTCCTTGATACGACATAATATACAGTCTTGTATGAATTTGGACTAATGAAAATATTTTTGAACACTATTTCACCTTGTCCTCTTATTGAGTGACCATTATGACAGATTTGGCTGTACTTCCGCTCCCTAAGTACAAGCGAATTGTTCCCAATTGCTTTTTAATAGTGTCTTTGATAGCACAACACAGAATATATTTACCTTGATATCCTTTTGTGCTGTTTTCAGAAGCAAGTTCAACACTTGTACCGGGAATAAAATCTTATTTAATATAATGTAGTAGACATAATCTAACATTAAATATTAAAATAATCTGAAAAAAAAAATAGTTTAAAATTACAGCTTAGATAGAAACTGTAATTTGTCTCAAAATAATTTTGTATGGTACCAAATGACGGAACGAACAAGATGTTAGGCAACATGCCTGTCCGTAGCAGTTACAGAATTACAAGGACCTGAGTTCACCCTGAGATATAGTCATTTAAATATGCATTTTGAATTCATCCTGGTATGGATCATTGTTATGCTACATTTTGAATACTTTGATTGACCAGACCGTTTTGACATGAGTGTACTTTCAAAACATGAGGGTATGGTTGATAATACAAATTGAGTGCACTTTAATATTAATGACAAAATACTGTTCAAGATATACTGTTGCAGCCTTTGCCATTTTTTGGACTTTGTTTGAGCTTGTTCATGGATAGATTGCAGGCTTAAAAATGAAAATTAGTGCGAACTTAGTGCATTAGTACTGCAAAAATGCGCTATTGCAGCCTTGGTCGGTAGCGCGGTTCGATAACGGGCAGGCAATTGAGCGCATCCGCATTTGTCAAAGGACACGCACGCGCTTCAAGACGCGCTCATCTCAGTCCAAGGTTACCTACACATCCGTGGCAAACGCCGTAGGTTGTCTTTTATAGCGGATGTTTCGCTCTTCATTCGGGGCCTCAAGATATCGTAATCTACTAGCCCGAACGGCGGGTTTAAACCTTACAAAAAGGCTTTAGCACGCGCCTCTATTAATGTTGAGCTAATAATTAGTTATTGGGTACTGCTTCTTGCCTTTATTGAACTTGGCGTGTTAGGCTGCTAACAGATTGACAGCATGTTTGCAGTTAATGCGTGAAGTCGTAATCAACTTGAGTCGATCTCGGTTGCAGGAAGTCGGTTTCGACTGCATGCAGTTAATGCGTGCAGTCGTTATCAATTTCCGCATTCGTGGTCTTGCATAACGACTTCACGCATTAACTATGAAGTCGGTGTCGACTGCAAACATGCAGTCAATCTATTAGCGGCCTTAGATGTTAGAAAAGAGTCAACGAAACTAAATTATATACCCTACTGTCTATATTTAGAAAAAGCCCTAATAGTTGTGTTTATTCTAGAAAGATATTTATTACACACCCTCTCCATTAATCATACTTTCTTTCATGTCGGTAAGAGAATACCCACAACCTTGTCATGAATATGATGATACTGCTTATAGTACCAAAGATTACAAACAGATTTGGGATCTGCGGATGTTAACACAACCTCTTCATCATATAATTTGAATTGATGAATATAAAGCGTCCGCCGTTGCCAATACGTGAATAGTTGTGACCTTACTCGCCCATCCCCACATTGTATGATTCACAATGAGCCTTCAATGGTACTGCCTGAATAGATCGTGTCTCAATTTCAGCATTGCATCGTTAGCAAAACTGTTATTCGAAATGTTTTGTACTCGTGTCATACTGTAAAAGCACAAGCGAAAAGGCCCCCAAAAAATCTGTCACGCAACACCTCCCTAAAAGCTCCTCGTGACTTGCTGTTTCTCTAAAAGCAATGTCTACTGGGTATTTGTCTCGTTTTATGTTATCTCAAAATTAACGTTGCGTTGTCAGAATAATATATTATAATTTCATTATACCTCTGCGGTTTATGTTCCATAATAAAGTTTTGTAGTTATTTTTAAGTGCGCCCCCAAGCGCTCGGGTGTGAAATTGGAAAATAGTCTGGCGTATGAAATAAGGGTAGTGGAGACACGACGGTTACTCGGAATTGCTACTGGTACACCTCATTATCCTGGTTACTACATCACGTGGGGATAGAAAATTCCATTTATAAAACCAACAGTCCATCGTTGTGGCCCTTGATTGTTTGATGGAGAATCACGAAGGTGAGAATAATTTGTGGCGACAGCCATATATCTCGCTTGCAATCGTCTGACAGATCGTCTAGTGGGCTGTGTGCCGCGAGGCTAAGGTCCTCGCCACTGACGCAAGTGGCCGGGCTACCGCAGGATGTCGGGAATGAGATCGTGTCCTCATAAAGGCAGCCGCACTGTCGTGGGTGGCGATAGTCTTGTGTAACATGTTCCTAATGAGGATATTATTCAGTGGCGTCTAAGCCGTTGGTTTTCTTAAGCGTTAATTGCATCCACGGTAGCCTCGTTAGCGAGACGGACAGATTGTGACGTTAATTTACGTTTCTCGTTTGTTTAGGTTTTAAAAAAAATGGTTTTTAAGAGTTTTAGCTTATTCTAAATCACGTCGCCTGGATGCTTTTTTATTTTTATGTGATTTCTCGCGCAATAGTAGGGAACTATCAGACGATTACCGGTAATAATGATTATTATTCTAAGCAATTAAAGCCTATTGTCTCGGGTGTATAAAGCAGAAGTATCAGAACGTACGTCTCGCCCTTGTCGAAAATTCAATTGGAATATTGTTTGATTTTTATTGAAAGTTTAATTTCAATTTCCACATCATGGAATGTTTCAATGAAATTAAATTTAGAATGGAGCAGTTTTTGAATGATTGAAAGCGATAGATGAAAACACAGTAATATGACACTTATATAGATTTAAGACGTTCTACTGATTGAGTTCGCACTTAGGCTCAACTCACACTGGCGCAGAGTTGAAGCGTCGCGTCGCGTCCTGTTTTTCAACTCCACACGCGCGACGAAGCTCGCATTAGTGCGCCGGGATCACAGTTTGGTCGGCGTCTGACGCCACGGCGCCCAATAGACGCGCGGCGACACACGTCGCCGCTCGATTCCATATTTGCAAAACACAAATTTGTACCTTAAATAAATGTGTAATGAAAATATAGATGAATATGCTATAGGCGAAAAACATGACGCGTCGCGACGCTTCGACTCTGCGCCAGTGTGAGTTGAGCCTACACAGTTCGCCGATCCCTCACTATTATACTGACACGTAGAGTGCTTTTCGAAACTAATCAAATTATGACACAGTTACAAAATATGCATTACCACGTGAGACAGTTGTAACATAGGTGTTTAACTAATATTTAAGGATTGTATGTACCTTGATTTTATTCAAAGAATATCAATTTTATGTTTGGAGTCCAAATGGCTGCAATATTTACTACCTAAAGTAACAGTTTCAAGAAAACGAATACTTGTTTTTGAACGGTTAAAGAAATCTAAGCCCCTGTCCATATACACTGGCCTAAATTACTATACCCAGACTTGGTCGAGGCCAAGGCCGACAATATCAATATATTTGGCTTTACTTTTGCCAGGCACTAGTGTTACGTAATCCGCTCAAGCCCTCGATGGAACAGAAACCTTTAAATTTCACGGTTATATGGAGCTCTTTGATCGGCGCGGTAGCACAATATGTTGCGTGCCCCTGTTCCACCAAGATAAGCCCCGACGACAAGG